AGCTACTTTATTTGCATTGAATCAAATTTTAAAGTTACTTCCGATGTTATTGCTGTCGTCTCAACGTAAGGGAACTAACTGGTCTACTTGCATTGAATCAAATCTTAGGTTACTCGATTGTGTACTTGTAGTAACAGTATACGATTTTTGGTTATGCATCACTGGAAATCTCGAAAAGAGATTGAAGCCAAGGTAAGCAGTTATCTTATATATATATTTTTTTATTTGTAAAGTAAACTGATTGCGTTTATATTTCGATAGATTATGATTGAAAAGAAAAAATAAGCGTGCTTAGCCGTTTTACATGCCGTCTATTTAGAATGATTTGATGAAAAAATTCTACAGTGTACTGTCGTCTGGTGATTGGTATTTTGGCCTGTTACTTACATCAAAAATTGATTGCAATGGTAATTTATACCAAATAGATGTTTTCAATTAGAGTTTTATTACTGTTGTAAAAATAGTTGCCAATCAAGGATAATGACAATTTACATCAAGTTTAAAAATAATGCTACTCTCTGTTCTGCTACATTTTATATTGTAATTTCTACGAATCACTATTGTGTCTATCTTCAGCCACTAAAGTTTACAAGTTGTCTTATCCTTTCTATTGAAGAAGTTGCTTAGTTTTCGGCACTCTTTCCGAATCGGCGGCGGCGGTAGTAGAAGCGACGGCGGTAATAGAAGCGACGGCGGTACCAGTAGCGACGACGGTAGTAGAAGCGACGACGGTAGAAGAAGCGACGACGGTAGACGAAGCGACGACGGTAGACGAAGCGACGACGACGACGGCGACGGCGTCTCCACTGTTAAAATGATGATATTTCGAAGTGAGAAATTTAAGAAGCACCTTATTTTAAGTTTACTAGAGTATACTATTGACATTATTTATCATCTAGTAGTCATTAACAGAATAGTCTTCATAAGGTACAACATTGAAGACAAAATAAAGAGTTTATCAATAACTTACGAAGGCTGCTTTAGCTTCTTCAGGTACTTCTTCTTCTTCATCTGCTTCTCTATCTTGTAATTCATTCTCAGGAGATTCGATCTCGTCTTCTTCTTTTTCAGCTACCTCGCCCTCTTCATTTTCTGCTGGGGCTTGATCTTTAACTTCTTCGATAGTTGTAGGTTGTTCTTCCTCGGCACGTACAGCGACGGCCAAGAAGAGAAGTGAGGCAAGTAAGACCAACGTGAACTTCATGTTGTCAGTTTCTACATATATATATATATATATATATATATTGAATGAAAACAGTTTAATTTGTTAGAATTGTTGTAATTTCTTCTATGCTGGCAGATTGAGCTATGAAAATAAGAATTCGATATAAAGCTGAAATAGTTTCCTTACCGTATCAAGACAGTTTCTCTATACACCTTGCGTGTGCAATGAGTTCTAAGGAAATGTGAGAATGTTAGACCTTTATATACACTCGTGCAGATAATAAATACTGAAGAAGGAGGATCTTAAATTGAATACGCAAAATGGGAAACTCGAATTAATTTCCAGTAGTTGTGCAGCAAGAGCTTGATGTCTTTTGTTATTTTGGGATAATAGAGGCGACAAAGAATTTAAATTTACATTATTTAATTATTACTTACTGGCTAACCATGACTTCAACATCTACGAGTAGTATATAAAATTATCTGTAGAAGATGTTACCAAATTTTGGAAAGCAATATTCCCGTATAGCGATTTGAATTGGTCAGTTTAAAATCTTGTTATATTCTATACAGTTAATATACCATTTTCAACACTGTAACTTATATTTAATCTATTTTATTCATATAGGTACAGAAACAGTAAAATTACATAGAAGTAGGTTATTTTCGATACGTAATCGTATGCAGTGTAATAGTATTTGTGGGTGAAAAGACACAATAGAGATGGTTTTCTTTTATTTATCCGATGATTGCACAGTTTTTCATTGGCAATGTTGCGTTTCTAACATCTGAACCATTTGGACTAGAGGAATAAATAACTTGTTGCTATGTTCGTTTAGAAGACTGTTAAGTAGTAGATATAATAAGTATATTTACAATGCTACCGTACTGTACGTGAATTGTTCTTCTAATAACTATGGATGCTAATGAACATGCTACATTAGCATTATTAATAGTAGCGCTAGATAATAAGATATAAGTAGATAAAGGATGGGGAAATGCTAATAACAATTGTATATTTATTAAACCATTGGCGGTTGATTACATGATTTCCTCATTGTGAATTCACTAGAATTTGTTATGGATGTTATTATTCTTTAACAATAGAAGATTGCTTACTCCATATTGTTATGTAGCTATTAACAAGCTGAATAAAAAATAAAGATTGGCCACTTAAGGCATCATTCCTTGCGAAGTTCTACTTGTCTGATTAATTCAATGAATATCTACAATAGTTGTCCCAGACTAGCATACTCTCATAATTAATAAATCTTTTTGAAGATTTTTATTATCGAGACTTTCACAATAGGAGATAGTCAGACGGAAGAGGCTGGAATTTTATTGGCTGTGAATAAATGATCTAAATTCATAAAAGTCAAGAATGTCTGAATAATTGTAATTTATGAAGGAACTGAAAGAAATCAAGGTCGCTACGCTATTATGATATTCAAAGAGTAGTTGTTACTATTTTTATTTTTAAAGATTAAATGTCACTCCAAGCATCATTTCATTTACAGAATTGTTGGGCATTTATTTGCAGATAGGTAAGAGATATATCTATAGATATTTACACAGTCAATCACTTGTACATTGCTGCCAGGTTATCTTATTATGAAAATTGATTTTAAAGAATCACGATTTCTACTTCACAGAATATTTTGTAGGCCTGGCAGAAATGAAATAGGGATGTTACTATCGTTAATGGTAAACATCAGTTGTTATTGTCAAGGGCGACGGGATACAACAGTCGAATTGGCTAGGAAATTAGTTATTTTATGGATTATTATCTAGTGATTCTTGTTTCAGTCATGGACAATGAAAGAATAAATGCTAGTACCGCAAATATTGTTAAAGGCATAGCATATTATGTGCCTCAAGAATTATAAGTATCTGGTAACCAGGGGTTATAGGCTCGATTATTACTATATAAAATGACGGGAAGGAAGTAGTAGTGAGAGAAACTTTTCAAATCTTCATTAGCCAAGTGAGAGTGGAGGTTGTATAGTATAGTTGATACGATGCTGCTAGTAAACTGGTCTCTATTTCGATTCTCGCATTTGCGAAGGAAAGCACGATAAAAGGATAAGGACAATGTTGTTCTCTCTAAATGATAAGCTACGGTATAATACAAGCTTGTAAGATGACTTACTTAAGTTTTGAAATCTTATATGGATAGTCATATGATATTTTAAGCTGTTACATTAATATAATCTTTGCTTTAACCAAAAAAGCAAACACTTGATCATAGATATTTAGGTATAGCATAAAATGATATGATTAAATGTAAATTTGAATCAAATATTATATAACTGAAGTTCTTATGAATAATACGGAATGTTATTCACGAATATAACTCTACTAGCTACAAGTAGACAGTTTTATAAGTTACCAATACTTAATTTCTTACGACACCAAATTCAAGTGTCATTATCGTCCAGCATCAGTATATTTGATGGAATGGAAATGATATTGTGATTATTAGCTCATTAAAGATTCGAAGAGTTAGACTAACTGAAGTCTATCTGACGTAAATTAAGCTTTCAACACTGTTAGTTAGACCTACAGTATAAGCTAAATATTGTTGTACATTAGGACGAATCTAATTAAAAGTGAATCTTAATCGTAATAGCTTACACCTACATCTTCCAATACCTTTAATTATTAGCAAGTAAAATACTGAATCAAATATGGTTGCACTTTTATTATGATACTTACTTACGTCGAAGTAATAGAGGCAATACAGTAGATCATAATAAATGTGCGCATAGCTCAAATGGATAAGGTACTCTTGTTAAGAAAATACAACGTTATCAACACTTAAGTATGCATTAAAGTGTTTGGTGACATGCCTTTATAATAATAATTGATGATCATAGAAGTACTTAGGTAATTCCACTCACCCACCCTTTAAACGAGCTGCGCGGGGTATTTATAATCATGCCTTTATAATAAATAATTGATGATCATAGAAGTACTTAGGTAATTCCACTCACCCACCACCTTCAAACGAGCTGCGCGGGGTATTTATACTACTATTAGATGACTTTGATTATGGGTTCATTTCAATAGGTCAATATAAGATTCTTACAGTACTTTTTACCTCAAGATTTCTTCATATAATACGAATAGCTCTAACATAGCAATTCCTGCAGAGTACTGATTTTTAAAATAGTATTCGTTATATCGCTAAGGGTGGCCACTGGACCTTTCAGTTTTGATTTGATGTAATACTCTGATGAAAATTGAATAAACATAGAATCTTTATAGAGTTTTCTACACAACGGTTTTTATCGACAGAGCAAGCTTTGCTTGCATATGCAAGCGATCCTTAGACACGTTACAAAGATTGGCATAGAATTGACTACAGTACTAAGGACATTGTACAGTACCTGCTAATCTTAACTTGGTATGTCCATCACCGTACATTGGTTATCATAATGTACACTTTGGACCATTAACTAATCTTAATATAGCATAGTCCATTACTTATCATGCTGTGCTTCGTACCATGAACTAATCTTAAATATCTTACAGTACCTACTAATGTTAACTTGGCATGTCCATCACCGTACATTAGTTATCATACTGTGCTTTGTACCGTGAACAAATGTTAATATAGCATTAACGTATATTTTGACAGTTTCGCTTACCAACCTTAAGTAACTTTCGTATTACAGTAGTATGTTTACCGAATAAGGATGGTTACAATATATACAGTATTAATGCTATGTTAACGAAAACGGAATTCGTATTGAAATGAATGATCTGTAGGGTTTATGTAAATATTATTGAGAAGGTATAAGTGATTGATACACATCAGTAGGTACTATTAGTTCTATTGCTCTCATGCAATTCGTAGTCTTACCCTACTGTAGTTCCCCTGTCCCGGTTATTTCTGATTGCTATATGTCGAGTGGTAATACTATCTGTTCATTGTTAACAAACGGGTACATTATCGTAAACCGTCAGCAAAGCGACGGGAGTTTGTATTAGTGATATCCTATGCAGCCGTAATAACCTTTCAGTAACGATACTTTATTCTGCATACACTATTAGATCTTATTATAAGAGAGATTGATCTTGTAATGAGGTTTGAAATCTCTCTATAGTCGCCTTGTTTATTAATTGATACTTGTAAACTTGCAATTAGCCATTAGATTTAATTAAGGTGCGATAAGATGAAGTATATTGTAAGCACATACTGTGACAACCATTGCGAAGTCTATCTCTTAGGTGTGAATATAGTACAGTATTTGCAGTTATTGTTCACTATCCGTAAGACTACATCCTAAAGCTACGGAAGTTTAGATGTTTGAAATGATTAAAAGCCTATGAGAATCGTGCACGTATCATATCATTTATACGATTACTTAATATTTAATTTGAGATCGCCTGCTTTAGTTTAAGTCCACTAATATCGATAATATAGTATAGATTGTAAAAGAATTACAACAGCTTTTACCATATCTTGTCACCGTTGACTCTGTAATAATATTACATGGATGATGCACAGCGCGATAATAATTATGGTATACGGATTTACAACTTTACTGTCATCATTTTCCTCTTCGAAAGATAGTAATATATCATTAATAAATTTGAACATCGTACTCAAGCTCTACTGAACTCTTCTATTATCTTTGCTGTTCAGGAAATGTAATAATTGTACCTAGTTATTAGTAGTTATGTGCTTTGGTAGTATATCGATAATACCTAGTGTAACACTATTTGACTCAGAATATTCTTTTACACATCTGATGTGTAGTTTAAGTGTGTATCTACGCAGCTAAATCGCATCTAAAAGAAAGACTAGTACGTAATTCAAATCCTTTACAGTTTATATGTATATGGTACTCTGTGTTGCATAAGCCTTAGCTAAGAGTTAAGGGTTAAGGTGAAGGTATGGATATTTACAAAAGTGGATTTAAAAGGTATGAGATAGAACGTAATGTGTGTTTTACCCTGATAGATGGAAAATCAAGTTTTTGAGGTGTTAAAGTAATGTATTTGCCCTAAAGTATAGGAATATAGTAGGCTAAT